CCACCCGTGTGCCACGCCAGCCTCCAGCACCAGGGGGCCAGCCCCGGCCCCCTGCGCCCCCTGCCCTGCTGGGCCTCCCCGGGCCCCCTGTGGGTCCTGCTTGTCCACTCGACGCTGACACGGGCCTCAGCCTGTGGGAAATGGGTCCGTCCTCAGATGCTGTGACTCGGCTCTCCAGGCCTGCCTTCCCAGGCCAGCCCGGCGGGAGACCGAGGCGAGGCGGCTCCTTGGGGGACAGGTTTGTGAGTCCAGCCGTGCAGCCCCTGGCCGGGATGTGTGCTTCCTCTCCTCGGGGTGTCCTGTTTCTCTTTCGCTGCTGCCTGATTTCCTGTTGGCTTTATTTTCATTTTGCTAATAAATTTCACACCTGCAGCACGACGGGTCCCCGTCCTTCTGGTCTCCTTGTCTCCAGTGCAGGCTGAGAACCTTGCTGGGCGCTCCTGGAGCCGGCTGCCCCCACGGAAGTGGCCGCTGTGGCTCGCTCACCAGACTGGCTTTGGGAGAAGGCAAAGCCAGCGAGGACGGGAGGGACTTATAACGGGACAGCAGGGAATGGCAACTGGCCTGGCAGCCAAGATGCCCCTTAGGATGCTCCTGTCTCGTATCAGTGTCTGGGCTCCGTGTTGGCCTCTGGCTCCTGACCCCAGGTTCCTGTTAACATGGACCCCAAGGGGCAGCAGTGATAGCTCAGCTGCTCGGGTCCCTGCCTCCCACGTGGGGGACCTGGATTAAGTGCCTGGATCAGCCCTGGCCGTTGTGGGCATGGGGAGTGTGAACCAGCGCATGGGAGACCTCTGTCTCTCTGTCTGTGTCTGGCTTCTCAAATAAAAAAATTTTTAGAAATGGGCCCTGACCTGACCACACCTGTTTGGAGCCAGAGTCACAGACACAGCTTTTAAAACGCAGACGCGAAGTCAAGTCCGCCTTTCTTGTGGCTAAAGTCACCTGATCCTCGGGCAAAGCAAAGGCTCAGATCAGTGGTCCGCGGCCCCCACCCCCTGGGCACCCCACTCACATCGAGCGTTTGCGATCACACACCCCTTCTGAGGCCTGTGTGCAGCTCTAGCCACCCAGACGGTGCCTTTCTCCTGCCTACTGGGAAACACTGTCAACATTAGACGATGGTCATCGTTGCACCTGTCACATGATTCGTCTAGAAAGGTGCAGACAAGCTGACCCACCCAGGTTTCCCAACCAGCTCCATGGATCGGTTCTCCTGGTAGCTGCCTGGCTTGGAATTTGCAGGCGATGGACACATGAACCGGAAGTTCCCCATTTAGACAACTGTGGCCAAGAACCAGCGCATCTCCAGAACTCTGTGTGACAGCTGGCCAAGGATAGGCAGTAGTGAGTTCCCCATCACGGGAGGTGTGCAAGCAGAGGCTCCACAGCCATGTCAAGGGCACTCAGGTGTGCGGTGGGGCTGGATGGGGCAGTGGCTGAGGGTCTGCTGCTGGCCTGCACACCCGGTGGTGGCCTCTGCTTTCCGGGTCCCTGCAGTGAAGCCACAACTGATGGAGCCACCAACCCGCTCTAGGAGCTGGGCTGTCTTGTCCCTCTCTGTTCTGTGCACTCTCTGAGTGGCAGTAGCTTGCTGGGGAATCTTCGAGGGTGGCTGATGCACAGGTAATCCAGCCCACCCTGGCTCAGGCCCGCGGGGCAGGCAAGACTGCAGCCTCAAACCCCAAGGCTTGCCCGAGAATCTGGTTGTGCTGTGCCTCCAACTGGCTGCAAGTTCAGGACCCACCCTTGGCCACTGTCCTCGTGGATAGAACAGACTGGCTTGGCGGGCACGAAGATGTCCATCACAGGAGGCTGGGAGGTGGGGGAGATGGGGGGCTGCCACACCCTCGCCTCCTCTGGGCTGTGCCTCTGCTCTTTCCCCCCAAGGGGTGCAGAGGTCAGGCACAGGTGACACACCCTTGCGGCACTCACCCAAGAGTAGGGTCCCAATAAGAAAGAGCAGTCTCGGTTAATTTAGCACCTGACCCAACCTCCCTCGCCTCCTCCTTTGTACTTAAATAGCTCCTTTCATCCAACAAGTTCAAAGCCGTGTAATAAAACAAACCCACATATTCTTGCGCCACAACAGAGGAGTCAAGCATTGTTTTCCCATCTAAGGAAGAGAGAGGAGGTGAATCACTCAGTGGTTGAGGGGTTCTTCTCGTGACATAAAATGAGTCAGTGTGGCCTGTGTTTCTCAAGTTCACTTCCAAGGCCCTGACACATTTATAATGAAAAGATTACCTTTGATGAGACATGTGGTTGTGTGTGCGTGTGCATGTGCGTGTGCGTGTGTGTGTGAAGAGAAGCTTCCCTGGAAACCAAATAGCCCATTATTGCCATCACCACCACGAGAATCATCATCACCATCACACACCATCATGGATGTCAGCATTGTCATCGGAGCAAACGCGTTGAGCTCTGTGAGCCAAACGCTTAGCTAAATTAGAGACGTGCGGCTACACATAAACTCATTTGGTCTATGACAATCCCTTGAAGTCAACGCTATCGCTTCCCCATTTCTCAGACGAGGACCCAGGGTTCAGGGAGGTCAAGTAACGTGCACCAGGTCACACAGCTGCGAGCTGCGAGCTGGCGGAGCCAGGACGCGGATCCAGGCAGCAGGCGTCCTCCAGCTGTGCTTTGCGGAGGCTGTCTCAGACTGTGACAGCTGGGTGGCAGAGCCCAGACAGCGCGCTGTTCTGAAGCTTTCCCTGGAAGGAGATGAGATTGCTGGCTAGGGGAGCCACCTCTGAGAATGTGCACCACCGAGAGTGGTGCAAGGAATGGCGGTTCTAGAATAGCTCAGTGTGACCTGAAGCTTGAGGGCCCTGGCGGATTCAATGACCTGGAACCACCACGTCATTAAAACTGCCTGCCGGGTCCGGCGCTGTGGTGTAGCGGGTAAAGCTGCCGCTTGCAGTGCCGGCATGCCAAGTGGGTGCCGGTTTGAATCCCGGCTGTTCCACTTCCATTCCAGCTCCCTGCTGTGGCCCGGGAAAGCAGTGGGAGACGGCCCAAGTGCTTGGACCATGGCATCCGTGAAGGAGACCCAGAAGAAGCTCCTGGCTTCTTGCTTCAGATCAGCCCAGCTCCGGCTGTTGCAGCCATTTGTGGGGGGGGGGGGGTGGTGAACCAGCAGACAGATGATCTTTCTCTCTCTCTTTATGCCTCTGACTCTCTGTAACTCTGCCTTTCAAATAAATAAGTAAATATTTTTTAAAAAACTGCTTGTCATTGCTAAAACCCCTTTGCCTACTGAGAAATAGGAGAGAAATGGCCTGAATCCCTTACAGATAAGATGCTCATTGCTTTTTCATCTACAAAGCACATTTATAACGTACTAATTGGAGCCCACAAGCAGCCTGGAGAGAGGCAGAGCCGGCGTCAGGGTCTCCACTGTGCAGCGGACGTTCGGGCACAGGCAGGGGAAAGGACCCCTCCACGGCCTCCCAGCAGGTGCCAGGGGCAGCGCCAGGCACTCGGGCTCATCTTCTCAGCACTGGTCCACCACACCTGGAGGGACATCTGCACACAGCTCCACACTGGAGCGCTCTCAAACGCTGGAGTGGGTTTTGCAGGGAGAGCCGTTCTGGGGTCTGGAATGTCCCTAAGGATAATCTTCCTGGCGCTCTCTCCCAGCCCGCGACGTCGTCCCTGCCTAAACTCCATGCTTAGACGGAGTTGCCAGCTTCTGGCTGTTTCCCGGCCTCCCTCTTGGTGCTGGTGTTTGCGCCCGAGTCTCCCTTGCCTTCCTTCCCCGGTTGGTTCTCTGGCGTCCTCTACAGACGACCCGGGTCCTGCACATCGGCCTCCTAGGAGATCCCTCTGGTCTCCAGGGGGCAGAGTTGTGTCTGCTCACCCGCAGGCCCACCTGCTGCCCCTCCCAGTCTCCTTTCTTTTTCCCGTCCTCTCAAATGTGCTTGCTTTACCATTGCCTTTTCTTTCTCTGCCCATGCCACATCCTCAGAGTGATCTTTTAGCACCTGCCGAAGTCTCTGTTTTTGCACCTGCCAAAGCTTCCCTATGGGCTGCCACAGGACGTCCATCACCATCACCCTTCCTGTGGTCTGCAAAGCAACAAGAACCAAATATCCAAATGCCTAATCACCAGGCACGGCTGCAGAAAAGATGCTCCAAGAGATGAGGACTCTGATGAGATCCTTGGACTCCTACTTAGCAGTCGCCTAGGGAGGGGGATACACTTCCGCCTCCTTCTGGGTACTGAAGTGACTTTGTCCCCTCACCTCATGGCTGAGAATCATGAACTGGATTGAAACAGCCTGGCTGGAGACTGGGGCAGGAGCAGGTGTGGGAGGAATGGACTTGGGGGGTGAAGGGCCCAGTTACTCGGTGTTTGTTGCAGACCTGCCTGCTCAGCAGGGATGGAGCTCCTGGAAGATGGGGTCACATCTTCCCCTGCCTCCACCATGTCCCCTGTCCCTGGAACTGTGCCAAACACACAGCAGGTGTTCAACAAGGGCCTGCTGTCCCATGCATCTCATGTGCGGTCTTCTGTTTACGTTAACTGAAAACCTATTTCCGAATGCCCACCTCACAGCTTCTCAATATCTCATCTCCTAACCTTTGGGCTGTTTCTCATATATTTTTTGGCACTGATGCTATTCATAGAAAGAAAATCCTTTACCAGAACTATGATTCTCCTATTTCAGGTTAATCCCGTGCCCAGCATGGAGAAGCCACTTAATAAAAGAGCTTTGGATTAAATTAAACTCAATAAAAAATGTGGGTTTGATGGTCCGTTGACAACTCGACTTCTCCTTGAATAGATAAATTTTGCAAGTACATCAACTAGGAAATCAAGAGAGTACACAAAATCTACTCCCAACCTACATGAGATCAGGGGGCTGTTGTGAGCCTGGGGTTCCGTGTCTGCGCTAATTCAAGAAGCAAATCTGCCCAAACTTACTGGTATCTTAAAAATATTGCAAGAGAAAGGCTAGATTACAAAGGATGGCAGCGCTGTGCTTACTCACAGGTCAGTCTGCCTGCAGTCTCCTCTCCGGATCCTCGTGCCATTTCGCCTTGTGCAGGGCAGCCAGCAGGGGACAGCAGCCTTCTCTAGCACCCGTCCTCTCCTGCGTCTCCAGTGTGGCTGCCGCCTGGCCATGACCTGAAGCTACAGCAGGTCTGCTCGTCCCTGGTCCTTTTTTCCTCCTTCGTTTGTATGCTCCTTGTCCGTAGAATCGCTCCTCCCCCGGGTGCAGACGGGGATGCATTTCTCAGCCACCAACACATCTCCGGCTCTGGACACCTGGGAGCAACGTCGCTCCCTTCAGAGGCTCCAGAAGCTGCGGTCCTGTGTCTGAGTCATCTCCACTGGTGTGTCACAGGACACAGGGCTGCAGGGCCACTGTTCCGTCCATCAGCTTCGTTTGTCTTGGCTGATTCTCAGCTTTCCTTTTCCAGGTTAGCCCATTTGAATAGGGTTAGCTGTGTCTGATTTGCATGGCCCTGGACAGTTCTGATGATTCAGCCCAGGTTTCCCTCTTGCTTCTTCATTTGCTTCTCTCTCTTATCAAGCACAGCCCCCCTTGTCTGCAGCTTGCTCCATTTCTCTGATCCCCTGCTTTGTACAGAAATATTCTATTTTTGCTTTTTTGTTGACCCAATTCCTGAATCTTCTCATACTCACAACCTGAACAGTCTCCTTTGCCGGAAGCACGCATGCTCCTGCACCTGCCGACCAGTGGAGTAGACCGAAGAGCGTGGAGAGTGCTGCTGGCATTCCTACAAGTGAGTGCGCACCAGTGCTCACGGGCCTTTCCACTCACCCCAGTCCCTGCCTGCCAGCCTCTGTGCTTCCTCCTCCTTTGATTGTCTTGGAAGAAAACAAAGAAAATTGGATTTTATTGCCACTCTGGGATCTCTTTGTAGTACTGGGAGCTTTTCATCTGAATGGCATTATAATAAGCCATGATAATGGTCTTGGGGAGTATAGCTGAGGGGCCTTTTATCTGAGACCCAAGCAAAGCATGCCATGAAGACTCGTGACAGCTCCATGGGGGGAAGGACTCCAATAATTGTCCACAGAGCTGTAGCCCTGGCTGGCAGCCAAAGCCGCGGGGGAGGTTGGGGTGCCGCCTCCCGCAAGGCAGGTGGTATCTGGAGGTGCCTTTAATTGGACATTTTAAAGATGATTTGTTTATTTAGTTATTTGAAAGGCAGAGGAAGATAGACAGAGAGCGAGCGGGCGAGTGAGTGAGATCTTTCATCCATCCACTGGTTCATTCCCCAAATGGCTGCAACAGCCAGGTCTTTGGCCAAGCCAAAGCCAGAAACCAGGAACTCCATGTGGTCTCCCACTTGGGTGGTAGAGGTCCAAATACTTGTGTCATTTTCCACTGCCTTCCCAGGTGCATTGGCAGGAAGCTGGGTCGGAAACAGAGCCGCAGGGTCTTGTACCAGGGCTCCTGTCTGAGATGCTCGAGGTGCAAGTGGCTTAGCCTGCTGCCCCACACACCAGCCCGAGGCAACTTCTGTGTGTTCAGAACTGTGGCCGCCCCTTCTCCAGGCCTGCCGGTGCCTTCCTTCACCTGCCTAGGCAGCCCCAAATGGCTCCGCACTGCTTCACACAACCCCTTGCTTTTCCTTCCCTGGTGCCCAGGTCCTTAGATTCAAGTACAAAACCACAGAGTCCTCCTCTTGCACCTTCATATCTTTGGTGCTTTTAAAAACGCACGTATTTATTTTAAAGGCAGACACACACACACACATGAGAGAGAGAGAGAAAGAGAGAGAGAGAGAGAGATGTCTCTCATTTGTTGGTTTGTTTTCCAAAAGCCTCCAACAACAGAGGCTGAGCCAGGCTGAAGCCAGGAGCTGGGAATCCAGGCCAGGTCTCCCATGTGGGTGGCAGGGATCCAACTACTTGAGGCATCACCTGCTGCCTCCCAGAGTGTGCATTAGCGCCAAGCTGGATTCAGGAGCACTCGACCCAGGCACTCCAATATGAGGTGTGGGTGGTCCAAGAGGGGTCGACCCCTACACCAGGTGCTTGCCCTGATACCTTTTTTTTTTTTTTTTGACAGGCAGAGTGCAGAGTGGACAGTGAGAGAGAGAGAGAGAGAGACAAAGAGAAAGGTCTTCCTTTGCCGTTGGTTCACCCCCCAGTGGCCGCCGCGGCTGGCGCACTGCGCTGATCCAAAGGCAGGAGCCAGGTGCTTCTCCTGGTCTCCCATGGGGTGCAGGGCCCAAGCACCTGGGCCATCCTCCACTGCACTCCTGGGCCACAGCAAAGAGCTGGCCTGGAAGAGGGGCAACCAGGACAGAATCCGGCGCCCCGACCGGGACTAGAACCCGGTGTGCTGGCGCCGCAGGTGGAGGATTAGCCTAGTGAGCCATGGCGCAGGCCCCTTTGGTTTTTAAAGCAGGTTGTATGTAAGCCAGTAGGGCTGGGGAGCCCAAGACAGAACATGGAGCATCCTGGTGCTCTATTCAATTCACTTACAGAATTGGGGAAAAGGTTTGAAAGTTTAAGGGGAAATTTAAGAATGATTTTTTTTTATGTTCAAGCCAACACGGAAATATTATGGACTATAAGGTCATTGGTATAAAGTTTTGGGATCAACTTCAGGTGATTGGCCCCATTGGACTTCCCCCCAATTTTCCCAATGTACCCATTCTCTGTGGAAAAGTTGGACGGCACTTCCTCATTCCAGTCTCACTCACTTCTGCCTCCAGACACTTTTCCTGGGCAGTTTAAGTGCATGCATGTGGGTCTCCCAGCTTGCATTTTTAAGCCCTCATTTAAAATTTTTTTCCAGAAAATTTCCCTTTGTCAAACTAATTATTGAAGCCCCCACCCCTAAAACCCTCCCCTTACAGCTCTCAGACATGATGCAGAGGGCATTGTGTACTCCCTTAAAGCACTAACAGGTGTCCAACCTTTGCAACCATGGCCCAAGTCAACCTTCATCATCCAGCTCAAGACTTCCAGGGACGGGGGTGCTACATCATTTAAAGACTCTTCTCTTAAAGCAAAGGGCAGGAGAGTCTGCTGCTGCCATTTGAGGCGACTTCTTCCTCAAAAGCAATCTGTGTCTCCCCCTGGAAATGTTGGGGCGGGGGGGGGCAGGACCTGAGATACTTTTGCACTTGCAGCATCACGTGACACAGAAGAATGCCACTGCATGGACCAACTCCCAGTTAATGGCCTCTTTGAAGGTCTACCACAGAGCGTGAATTCATGGGTACACAGCCCGAGCTGGAGCCCTGACTTAGCAAGAAGCTCAGTAAAGAATTTTATGGGAGAAGGGACTCTGGTGAGGAAAGCAAATAACAGACTGGGGCGAAGGGCGTTTGAAAACCAGTGAAGAAATAAAAAGAAGAAAGACATCGCCTACCACGTCCACGCCTCCACGGCGGGGGTATAAATGCAGCCCCGAGGAAGGAGACCCACAGCTCCGTGGCTTGGAGAACTTGGACTCGCTCTTCAGCCGGGCACCTCGCTCCCTCCCAGCGCCATGCCGTACAACTGCTGCCTGCCCAGCCTGAGCTGCCGCACCAGCTGCTCCTCCCGGCCCTGCGTGCCCCCCAGCTGCCACGGCTGCACCCTGCCCGGGGCCTGCAACATCCCCGCCAACGTGGGCAACTGCAATTGGTTCTGCGAGGGCTCCTTCAACGGCAGCGAGAAGGAGACCATGCAGTTCCTGAACGACCGGCTGGCCAGCTACCTGGAGAAGGTGCGGCAGCTGGAGCGCGAGAACGCGGAGCTGGAGAGCCTCATCCAGGAGCGCTGCCAGCCGCAGGAGCCCCTGCTGTGCCCCAGCTACCAGTCCTACTTCCGCACCATCGAGGAGCTCCAGCAGAAGGTGAGCCGCGGGCTGCCGTCTCCGGGCCAGGGGGAGTTCGCTCTGATTCTCACTCTGGGTGTTTTGCTTCTGCGCCATCAGGATCCCTGCTGCATCTTTTGCCTATGAGAGAGAATTGGATGGCTTCATACTTAGTTTCCATGCTCACTAAGCAACCTCTCCCTCCCCAGATCCTGTGCACCAAGTCTGAGAACGCCAGGCTGGTGGTGCAAATTGACAACGCCAAGCTGGCTGCCGACGACTTCCGGACCAAGTGAGTTGTTTAGGATCTACACGAGTACCCGTTGCTTTTGTTTCTCCTCTAGTTAAAGGAAAGAGATTTCTACAGCTTTCCTAAACACCAGAGCGATCCAGCGGTAGTGAATGATGCTGTAGAGGACTGGGGGAACCAAGGAAAGAATCACAAAACCAGATGAGGGCTCAAACCAGCCTGTTCAGCTGGGGATCAGTATTGGGCCATGACTCGGCCTCCAGAGCTCCGTCTCCTGGGTCTACTCCCTGCACGATGTATGTGTGTGTGTTTGTGTGTGTGTGTGTGGTGGGGTGGGGGACAAGCCCACAGGGTCATCAGAGATCTTCCTGTGTTTCTTAAAGACATGCCAGTTGCTGCTCTGACCCTGTCCTTGTGCAGGTACGAGACAGAGCTGTCCCTGCGGCAGCTGGTGGAGGCCGACATCAACGGCCTGCGCAGGATCCTGGACGAGCTGACCCTGTGCAAGTCGGACCTGGAGGCGCAGGTGGAGTCCCTGAAGGAGGAGCTGCTCTGCCTCAAGAGGAACCATGAGGAGGTGAGGCTGGGACGAGGAGGTGGAGAAACATGATGGGCTGTCGGGCTGAGGCGGGGCTTCTGCGGTTTGGAGAGGCAGAATCACGACTATGAGTATCAGGCTGAGCCTGTCTTCATACATTTTCTTTCAACACACCCAAACGTGGAGACGAAAGACCTGGAGAGAGGCAAAACCTGGCCATGTTCCCTCGCACACTCAAAACTAGTGCACCGTTGGGGATTCCAGAGCAGCTTCGCCCGTGTTTGCTCTGTGTTGGAGCCGGGGTCCCAGCACTGCTGGGCAGAGTCAGTTTTGTCTCCCCAGTGTCCCCAAATCAGACCCCACACGTGGGTCTCCACTGCTTCAGTCTTGGAGAAGAAAGACGAGCTTCTCCTCTCCCTGTGGGGAGGGGTCGGGACACGCCCTGACTTCTCGCTCGCTCCCAGTGGTTGATACACAGCCTCACATGGTGCAGCCGGGGTTCTGCACCCTGAGGTTCTCACAGCCAATCTGCAGGCCTGGGAAGTTGCGGACTAGTCAGTGCGCCCGTCCTTGGCATCCAGCAGAACCTGGGATGCCTTTTTGAAGCCGGCACCATAGCATGGCCATGGTGAGGAGGCAGCTGTGTGATACGACTGCAGACAATTTGCCTAGGGCTGTCACAGACAGCTCCCCTTGCCGTTCCTTTCCTGGTGAAACACACCCACGGGGCTTCCACAGGCAATGCTATTTCTGAGAGCCCATTCTTTGCTGAGGTTGCGTAACTCTTGATTTTCCCCCACCCACAGGAAGTCAACACCCTGCGCTGCCAGATTGGAGACCGCCTCAACGTGGAGGTGGACGCCGCCCCCACCGTGGACCTCAACCGCGTGCTCAACGAGACCAGGTGTCAGTACGAGGCCCTGGTGGAGACCAACCGCAGGGAAGTGGAGGAATGGTTCACCACGCAGGTACGCACCCGGGACCCACCCCGAGCCCCACGTCCTGCAGGGCCCTTGAGGCAGGGTCTGACCCCATCTTCTCCCCTTGGGCGTTGCAGACCGAGGAGCTGAACAAGCAGGTGGTGTCCAGCTCGGAGCAGCTGCAGTCCTACCAGGCCGAGATCATCGAGCTGCGCCGCACGGTCAACGCCCTGGAGATCGAGCTGCAGGCCCAGCACAACCTGGTGGGTACCGCTCGCACCTGCTGGGGGCACCGCGAAGCCGGGGAGGCAGAGCCGCTAGGGTACCCCTGGGGCCACGCGGCCTCCTTGGCTGTGGAGGGAGAAGCCCCCAAAGAAACCCTGGAGAGCAGCAGCCGTGTGACCGTCGCCTTTGTGTTCTGTCCCCCACAGAGGAACTCCCTGGAAAACACGCTGACGGAGAGCGAGGCGCGCTACAGCTCCCAGCTGTCCCAGGTGCAGTGCATGATCAGCAACGTGGAGTCGCAGCTGGGTGAGATCCGGGCGGACCTGGAGCGGCAGAACCAGGAGTACCAGGTGCTGCTGGACGTGCGGGCCCGGCTGGAGTGTGAGATCAACACGTACCGGGGCCTGCTGGAGAGCGAGGACTGCAAGTGAGTTCACAGCTGGAGGTGCCCGGTGCAGCTGCCGTTGCGAGGGTGCTGCTCGGTTGGATCTGCGCAGGGATTGCACACCTTGGGAGGGGAATCACGCCTTCACCCCAGGCGGGTGCAAACAGGTCCCGGCAAGCATGCTATGGTCAGCATTCAAAGCCTGGAATGGTTTGGGTAGAGAGTTGCTGGATAGAGAAGCTGACACTGCATAGCCAACTGCATTCTACTGAGATGATAGTGCACCCCGGTTTGCATCTTGATATGACACACGAGCGATGACGTCTCTCATTCTTACAGTGCCGTGTTGTGCAAGGGTCCATTTCTGTGTGCTCCCTTCTCTGGGGTTGCAGTTACTGCCAGGCAGGCTGGATTTGGTTTTCTCTCTGCAGTCTATAGAGGAAGACCCCGGGTCTTGGAGAAGGCCAGTGACTGGCCCCTGGGTCCCAGCTAGGGAAGGACGGAAGTGGGAGATGTTAGAGTTTGTGAGTGGCTATGGTGCTTTGGGACCCTATGGCATAAATACCATTAGCATTTTTTTTTCCAAGTAGGAGAGCCTGTGGCCGCTCTCTGTGGAAGGCCAGGCCAGGTCCTGACGGGCATGGCACTTTTGGGGTCACTCTGATATTTTATTCTAACGCTTCCCCAACTCATCCTTGCACCTCCTTCTTTTCCTCCAGGCTGCCCTGTAACCCCTGTGCCACGACCAACGCGTGCAGCAAGCCCATTGGGCCCTGCGTCTCCAACCCCTGTGTCCCCTGTGCTCCCCCGACCTCCTGCACACCCTGTACCCCACGGCCTCGCTGTGGGCCCTGCAACTCCTTCGTGCGGTAGAAGCCAGGGCATGTGGCAGCAGCTAGGATGCAGGGCCTGGGGCTCAGAGCTGTGGCCTGGCCCTGGGTCATGCCACAAGAAGGGCCTGAAAACACGACCTGCATGACTGGCGCCATCCCAGCGAGGCAGGCGAGAAGCTCCCCGCAGCCCCAAGCCGCTCGGACCTCCTCTGACCGTCCCGCCACCCTCTCCTGGAGAGCTCTCTTAAGGGCCAGCGGCCCTCCCTTGTATCCTAATAAATGCAACTTCTCTGGCAAAGCAGCAGCCTTGCTCATTGGTATTCATTTGTTTCAGCGCGCTCATCACTGAGTAGTCCATAAAAAGCCACTTGAAAGCCACACCATATAATGTCCTGACTCTCAGCCGCCAGAGCCATTCCATGCCCGGGGGCATGCGGCTGGCCCAGTGCCCTGGACCCATGGGTGAGGCAGGCAGGCCGCCGGCAGGGAGGAGGGCGAGGCAGCAGCAGCGCTGTGGTCTGCATCTCCTCCAGACCATTCCTGAATATTTCTCTTGGCCTGCACATCTCCAAAGTGGAACCTGGGAGGCATGAGCTAAGGGTTGAAGACAGATGCCAGGAAACTCATCTTTCCTCTGCAGGAGGAGTCTTATTTTTATCTTCTTAAATTATCTTAATTTTCTTTGAAAGAGAGATACACAGAGAGGGGGAGACAGAGAGGCAGACAGACAGACAGATCTTCCATCTTCTGGATTACTCCCCTGCAACAGCCAGGGCTGGGTCAGGCCAAAGCCAGAAGCCTGGAACTCCATCCAGGTCTCCCATGGGGCTGGAAGAGGACCCAAGGACTGAGCCTTCATGTGCTGCCTCCCAGGGTGTGTGTTAGCAAGAAGATGGATCAGAAGTGGAGTCACCGGGATGTGGACCAGGCACTCTGAAATGGGATGTGGGTGTCACGGATGGCATTTTTCTAAAAAAAGATTTATTATATATTTATTTGAAAGTCAGAGTTACAGAGAGGGAGAGGCAAAGGCAGGGGGAGAGAGAGGGAGAGAGAGAGAAGAGGTTTTCCATTCGCTGGTTCATTCCCCAAATGGCTGCAATGGCCAGGACTGGGCCAGGCTGAAAGCCAGGAGCCAGGAGCTTCATCCAAGTCTCCCACGTGGGTCCAGGGACTCAATGACTCGGGCCATCTTCTGCTGCTTTCCAAGTGCCTTAGCAGGAAGCTGAATCAGAAGTAGAGCAGCTGGGATTGAGCCAACACTCTGATATGGAATGCAGTCGTCCCAAGAGGTGACCCAACACAACTCAACACAACACTAGCTCCTGAGTTTTTAAAATCATTCTTCTTACTTTATAATTATATCTCATGCGTAACTATAGATAAAACCTGGTTCAAAACCCTTAGTGTCTAGTAATAAGCTGTGATTTTGAGCAGGTTTCCAAAGCTCCATTTATTAATCTGAAAAATAGGCTTAGTTTCCAGAATTGTCACGAAGATTAATTAAGATAACGAATCCATACATTTTCAATAAATGAAAGCTATGTAGTTTCCTATTGCTGCTCTC